AAAAAAAAAATCAATAGAGCTTTGGTGGTTACCCACCCTTCATATTGTTCAAAACATGGCCTTTATTACAAATAGAACAAGAATCATGTATTTCATATTATATATATGAGAAGGAGAGTGAAGAAACATATATCTATATACATATATATATCTATATATATATATCTAGCCTCAATGTGAGAGATTGAGAGAAAATCCCCTACCTTAAATCAAGATTCCAAGCTAAGACCCAAGCTTCAAGACCTTCTTGCTCTCCTTTCTTTTCCTCTTAATCTTCTCCTCCTAGGGTTTCAAAAGATTTGGGTGAGAGGGTAGCAAGAATGGAAGAAAATGGGAGGAGAATGTATTCTTGAAGAATTTGAAGTTTTGATTTCTACAAGGTATAAATCCCTCTTGATTGGTATTTCTATCTTCCTCTCTTCCTCTAAAATGGTTCCTAGGGTTTGGAGGGGTGAAATGAATGCTAAAGGGACGACATTAGGTTTTTATAGGGCAAGAAAATCGAGCAAAACCCGATATTTTCTGTTCAGAAAAAATCGGGTTTCCTTCGTACTGTTCACAGATTTTTGGTGCGACTTCCAGGTCAGTTTTGACCCATTTAGAGGTCGAATTGGAAATTTTTCATGAAACACACTTTTGTAGCCCTAGATGTCTACTATTTCCTGTCAAAATTTCAGATCAATTGGACATCAAAATATAAAGTTATGATCAAAATACTAAGCAGTGTCCATCACCCCTTTTTACCCAATTTCACTCCAATTTGGTTTTACTTCTAAAATACTTCCTAACTTCTAATACATCCCATATTACCTCTCCCAATGTTTTCCGACCTCCCGAATTCAATGGTAATGTTATTTTGAAAAAAAAAATTAATATATTTATTTAGTTACCCTTATCAATCTTAAACACATCAAAAAAAAAAAATTAAGTTTGACCCAAAAGTCAATCCGTTCGAAACTCAAACTTCATGATTAATATTTCAACAATGATTCTAAGTTTTTATCCTCATTTTATTCATATTTGGAAAACTCTTAAGATATTAGTATTCTTATTTAATTTTAGTACAGGGTCTTACAGACCTAGATGGTTTGGACATGTTTATTGAAAACCTAATAATGCACTGGAAAGGAAGAGTGATTTTATACATATCGATCGTAATGCAAGAGGTAGAAGTAGGCCTAAAATAACTATGAACAAAATAGTAAAAAATGATATAATAGCTTATGGTCTAACGGAACATATGGCCCTTGATAGAGCACAATGGAGAAACAGGATTCATGCCGACCTAAAATAGTTGGGATTGAGGTTTTGTTGGGTTAAGTTGAGTTATGGTTTGCAAAGAGTTAAAGTTTTAAGAGTGTCAAGCGAGCCTTTGAGTTCTCTGTATTTGTAAAGTTCAGAAACAAGGCAATTATCCAAGAAGGAAAACACACTGATAGTATATAAACAACATGACCCTAGAGTTGGACGAATTTCGTGCTGAGGGCTGCAAAAATATAAGCAGTTGACCCAATGCAATAAGACCCTGAAGAATATCCTAAATCAGATGCGATCAAGAGTAAAAATGAGGAAGAAGAAAGGAACACAAAAAGAGGATGAAAGTTGCATTGCTCAATATCCAGAGTACATTGAGAGTTTCATCAAACCTGAGGATCAAAGGATGTTCCTTTTTCAAATGTTAACTTGACAACATCAAGTATAAAGCAACAAGCCTCGAGCTAAGTTTGATAGATTCCTCAATTTGCCCGGAGGAGTTTTCTCTCATAATTCTTGCCGATTGAACAACTTCAAGCCATCACGCAAGCATCCCAAATCCAGCCCTCACATAGAAGAAACGCATCCCAAATCCAGCCCTTCTGATTCAAAAATAAATGCTCATTTATTCCCTGACCTTGACCTTTTCCCTTTTAAGAAGATGAAAATATGAAATAAAAAGAATCGGGGATGTGTAACTGGAGAAAAATGTAAACAAATCTTCCACTTAGATAGGTAGAAAGGGGGGAAAACTACAAACACATTCATATACAATCTCCAATCTGCTACTGTCTATTCTTCAAGAAGAGTTGATTGTGCAAACATGATCAAACCTTACGTAGCAAACACAAAAATAAGAGGAGGGGGAAGTACACAAGGCTACCGTGGGGATCAAATGTACACGGCATTACCACCACATACCAACATAAATTAAATGATCAATGGTTGATTTATAGAACTAGCCAAATAATATCATTTATAACCTTAATAATTCCTTGCTGATGCAAGCACCAGGCCTAAACTGGATGGCTTGGACGGATCTACAGGACACAACCCTTAGGGAGTTAAGAGGTCTAAAAGCAGTCTCTTCTCAAAGCCATTAGAACACACTGGTACAGCCATGAGTCCATGACAAATAAACACAAAGGGTAGCTTGCAGTATAACCTTTAACATCATTTAAGAAAGGTACTAGCAACAAGAGTCACTGTGCTTGAAGGTTTCACTTTAGGTTTTTACTATGACAGTTGTTGGATTTGATTAATCGCAAGGATTGACTCAAAGGCGCCCAATTAAACTGTTTAAAGGAGTCATGGTTGGAAAGCTTTTTTAGCAAATATATAAATTCTTAGCATATGAACACATTCAACTTTTATGGTTCAAAAGTTTAATCATAAAGAACAAGGTCCATAGAGACCTACTAATTTGGACCAATTACTCATCTAGATTCTTTAGGTGACTTTGCTTTCTTTCCTTTGAAGTTTGAAATGTTCAAACTAGCACTACTACAGTTCTCAGGAGGCCTCCATGAAAGGAAGCAAATCCCGAGCCCGGCCTTGATACCCTATAGTTGGGGAAAGGATCCTTGTAAACATAACAAATCATTAGATTCTGAGAAACATGCCATGGGTGGAGAACCCTATACCATATACAAAGAATGTGGTATTTAAACTTGAAAGTTAAATCATATATGTATTTCTCTCAATTACAAATTTTTTATTCATGGAGCCCACCACAACGTCTAATTGTGTTGGCCAAGGAAATCTGCCCTGGTGCATTCACCCTGTGAGAATATCATTAAGGTCAACTTCTTCATTTTTTGATAAGCATCTAAACAAGTGCCCTTGCTCACCAAATTCTATGGCAATGGGCTCTGACAGGTGTCCATTTTTGAAGCACATCAATCATTTTTGTCTTGTGGAGGACCACAAACTACATCAACAATTTTGGCTTTCCAAGCCACTTCTGACTGCTGGGACGCTTTAGCCGCCCCTGAATGCCAAACCAGAATGGAAAACACGAGACCTACTGAAGCAGCACCAGTGGTTTTCTTCATTTCTTGTTGGTATGGGTTAGATAAAGATATGAGAAGCTGACAAGGTTTCTCTGACTTAAGTTCTCTGAGGTAAATCCACCAGAAAACCAAGTAACCAAATCTATCACCTCTTAGGTCTATATAGGGAGCAAAATTACATGAATTGAATACTTTGGGGACCATATTGACAAAATTGATTCAATGAAGACTAAACTGACAAAAAATGCATACTTTAGGGACTAAAAATAATATTAACCCTATTTATTTTGTTTGGGTTTTCATTCACAAAATCAATATTTTAATAAAAACATTGAAGTGTGTCAACTTAATATAAGAACAAAATCAATATTTTAATAAAAACATTGAAGTGTGTCAACTTAATATAAGACGATTAAAAGTAGATGTTTGGTACCAAATAATTACTTTTCAATACCATTAGCAAAATAATATTATTGAGAAAAAATTTTCATTGAAAGAGCTGAATGAAGTTGGTATTTATTTTAACAATACAACTATACAAAGAAAGGGAAGGAGGCCAATTCTCTTTGACAACACACATCACCTTTACTTAAGGGTTTTCCTTTATCCATAGCCTAGCTCCGTCACTGCATGCATAGAATGGCACTTAAATTATTGTACACCAGTAATGAATGGTATTGTCCAATCAAACTAAGCTTTAACGTGGCTAAGTTTTGCTTATTAGTGGAAAAAGTGGATTATCAAAGTCAAAAGAAGCTTCCGGTTGATGCAAATAGTTATCAAATTGCGTATCGGAAGGCGTATCATTTTTCAAAAATAGTGTAACGTATCGTATCGTATATCGTAAGATACAGTGTAATTTTAAATGAATAATAATAAAATATATATACCTTTGAAAAAAAATCAAACTCCTAAAAATATAGCATTTCATTAATGTTCCACTAACTATTCAAATCATCAACATAGTTCACAAATATTAAAATGTAAAGTTTCCACCATAGTTCACTAATTTAAGCTTCTAACACCCAAGAGGCTTCTAATCCAAACTTCTAACATCGATTTTGAACTCAATCTTCAATTTCAATTGAAAATGCATTAATCAAGATTAACATTAATCAAGATTCAAGATTCGGGAAATTAATATTAATCAAGATTCAAGATTAACATTAACACTATGTTGATGAACATTCAAGATTCAAGATTACCATTAACACTACTTCAAAAAATTAACATTAATCAAGATTCAAAATTTTGATACAAAAAACCAAAAAAAAAATATTTGACTTTGTAAATTAACAGCATTTCTTACACAAGTTTCACTGGATAAGGAAAAAGAAGGTCGCTGCAGTTGCAGATCCAAATCTAGAGGCAGTGACTGGCTTGGCAGGCTGCTGCTTCGATGGCTTCTCAAGTTTTTCTAGCTTCGTCAATGAAAAACAGAGAGAAGATAGAGAGTGGGCTTCGACGAGAGGAATAGGACTTCGCCGATGAAGAACAGAGAGAAGAGAGAGACTGGGCTCATCGTCTTGAAGAACAAAAGGCATAGAAACACTTGGCTTCGTCGTCGTCAAGAACAGAGAGAAGAGAAAGAGGGGTTGGGTTCATTGTTGGTGAAGAAGAGAGAAGAGAGAGAGAGTAGGGAGCTACTTCGTCTTTCGTCGTCGTAAAAAACAGACAGAGTCACAGAAGACAGCGAAGAAGAAGAGAAAAATAGAGAGAAAAAAGAGAATTTTTTTTTTTAAACCCTAACCACCGAAACGACGTCGTTTCAGTGGCTTTAGGCTTACTTAACACAAAACGACGTCGTTCCATTTAAAATAAATAAACAGTTATGAGCATATCGTGTGTATAGTAACGATATGTATCGTATCGTAAAACCATATCATATATCGGACGATACTATGCAAAAACGACACAAAACTACAATTCTTATCGTTTTACTTTTACCTCAATCATGACGTATCGTACAATACTAACAACTATGGTCATGCAACATAAGTATTCTACTGAAAATAGAGGGTAAATTACACTTTCACCCCCATCTATAACTCTTTTTTCACATTGTCCATCTAACTATGATGTTTTTCACATTGAAACCTCAACAATGTAATTAGTTTGACATTGCCCCAATTATTAACGTCCATTGTAGATTTAACGAAAAATTATTTTACTTTGCCCCTGAATTATGTTATTTTTTTCATTTACCCCGACACGTTAGTAATTTCCGTCCAAAAAGATAACAACCGTTTGCATTTTGGACAATATGAAACAATGCAAGTAGTTGACGGTGCAATGTGAAAAATTCAAGGGCAAAATGAAATCGAGTCCACAGTTATGTCGTAAAAGCGTAATTTGTCCGAAAATATAAATGTTTCATTTTAAAGGAAGACAAAAATAGCATGAGAACTAAATGAAAAAACACTTGTGTATGATCCCATCACTATAAAATAAAATTTTAGGAGGGCACCTGTATATTTTAAGTAATTGCTGCTGGTGGCCACTTTGAACCATTTGTTGTTCTAAATCATGCAGCAGCGGCAGAATCCTTGGTGATATGAGAGTTGGTGGTGTGTAAACAGAATTTTCCAAGCTGTTCTTTTGGTGCACAGAATGACTATTGGATGAAGGATTCTTAGCATTAGAATCGCCTGGGTATCCAGGTGATCCAGACGATGGTCGCATTGAATTCGGAAGGCATTCAAAAAGGCGATCAGGCTCCACAGGTTTGCTGTATACACGAATTCAATGTATAATGGTTACAGCACACTCAATAGGCTAAAAGAACTGTACATCTCCTAGCACACATAAAATGAGCAAACCTTAAAAATGAATCTTGCATAAGTTGATATATGAAGTACTTGATAAAAAAAAAAAACATTCATGGACTGAGAAGCAATAAATTATTTAAACAGAGACTTGATCGAAAACACTTGAATAGACCTTGTTCATGGCGAAATGGCCATATTAGAAAAATCACAAGATACAAGAAAGTTTCAACCTTAGATTCGTAGCTAGAAACTAAAACACATAAAATTTGACTTCATTGTTAATCACCAAAAGTAATTTCTCTATCAAAAGTATGCCATGCAAATTTTCTACAGGCTTCATAGTTCAGAAAAAGAAATAATTAAATGCCTTTTGATAAAGCAGAATGGTGAAATAGGATTCATGAGCACCATCCAAATAGTTGGAACAAGGCTTTTGTGAGTTGAATTGATGAGCAGTTACGGTAAAATAATTGTGGAGTATCAGATACAAGAGTAACACAAACACCACATGCACCATTAAGACCAGCACGAACCTGGAAGATGATAAGAGTTGGTTAAACTCCTCTTCCAGCTTAGAAATAGCCTTAGCAAGTAAGTTATTTGCATGGTTGACCACCCCATCACTGCTCTTAAAGCTTTTGTTGTTGCTAAAAAACTGAATGTTGCTTCTTAGTTGCTCAATTGCTCCAAGATAATTTTCCAGGTTTTCATGTGGCCCTTTAAGTATTTTAGCCTCGGCCTACATCAGAACAATCAGCAACTAAAAGAGAGAAATATACATAGTAACAAAGTATTTGTCCAAGTGAAAGATGCTGCATTTGTAAAGCCAAGGGGGAACAAAGATATCAGCAACTATAAGAGAGAGGTATGAACTACAAAAGAACTATTTTCCTGAGTAAAAGATGCTGTAATTTTAACCTTGAATATTAGGGTAAAATTTTGAAGTCTATAAAAGAAGAGTGAAAATTATTAAAGTATAAGTGTGTAATGGTGTTGTACCTGCAAAATAAATGTTCACCATTCATGAAAACATCAGATACTCCAATGAAAAACACAGAAACTCCTTGATTGATTCCTTACTACTCAATGGCTCAAAGAAAAACTAATCTCCTCTGTGATTGATGTGCCAAATACAGAGGCATAGTGTACTGCTGAAATAGGTTGGATACCACAGAATTGGGTAAAATCTAAAACCCCACCAACTGATCCAGATCACAGGCTTGGTTTGGTTTTTCTAACAAGCCAAAATATCATGTGGGTTTGGGTAAGTTCATCTCATCTGCAACCTGAAAGAAAATAAGTAAAATTTGTGTTGTTCATTCATTTGTACACCTTTGGCAAACTACTTTTACACACAGGATTGCAGGTTTGTGGGTTGAACCAAGATTGGGAATCATTTCGAGTTTCAGTTTGCTTGACCAATTATAATCATGTCAGCAAGTTATTATTTGCATTAACTTTCTGATACATGACACCGGCACTTTCTAGAGATATAGATAGAAAGAGACTAAGCACCTGTGAAGACAACAAGGCATCGCTCATATGCTTATTACTCTTTTTTGCAAATTAATACTCCAGTTTAGTCTGCCATGTCAATTCTTTCATTTTTCTCATGATAAACTGCAAAGTAGTCTGCCATTTATTTTTCATGATCTTTCTCATGATAAATGGCATCATTTTCCACTAGCAGGTAAAATGAATTCCACTTTGGGGAAAAGTAGATAAAACAATAGCAGAATGCAAAACATCTCACAAATGCTTGAGTAGGGATGTGCCCTTCTTAAGAAGTCATACGGAGGCATTTCCAGAGGAAATACATCACATATGTGTCAGGGGGCAACTTTCACCAAATATTATTCCATGTTGTCATGTCATGTCATAAGAGAGTTGAGTTGTGACACCCAGGTTTTTCCCGTTTGGCATATGCCATAGGTTATGCAAAGATCAGTCAAGCATTTCTGTGTTGTTGGGGAGATTGTCATGTAAATAAGAGGAAATTAAGAGAAGGATGCTAAGTCGCATTGCCGGATGTGGACCTTGTGGAGGGAATGACACAGGTCCTTTGAGGTGATGGTAACTCTTGTAGACTGGCTCAACTTTTTTGTGTTGAATTCACTTATTCTGTTGGCTGAATATGGTTTATCCAGGGCCAATATGTTCTTTTTGTGAATTTTCTTGGAGAATGTTTTCGGCTTCATCCCTCTATCATGTGCGTGACTGTATGGTGTATAGGATGCCTATTGAGCACATTTGTATGTCCATTATGTTTCAGGCTTTATGTCTATTACGTGTACTTATTTTTGGCCACTCCTTTCATCTGCAGCCCACGTAAATGGGGTGCACCTCATGTAGCAACCTCAAGTGAATATTTACGTAATCAATAAAAATAGATATAGAGAAAAAAGGAAGAAAGGAATGTGGAAATAAAAAGAGAAGTAAAAGATCTTTGCCAAACAATTATGACAAGGTGAAGATCTGTCGGACAGCAAAATAAAAGAAAAGGTGAGAAGAGCTGATTTTCTTAGAAAACCTTGGAGTTTTTTTCGATAAGACACGATTGTATTGATAACCAATAGCATTACAATAAAATCAAAAAATAATGTGAGCATGCAATCCAAGAACTAAATTTTGTTTCAAAACGGTTGAAACATTCAAAATGTTTTTGTATCAACAGAAACAAAAACGAATCATTAATTGAATATCAAAATTCCTATGTTTCGAGAAGTTTCGGTAGGCTTCGAGATATTTCGGCACGTTTCGATCTATGTTTCAGAATGTCTCGGTATATTTTGACCAATGTTTCTCAAATAAATTATGAAATTATTCTTTGTTTTTGTCTTGTTTCTGAAATGTTTCTGAAACATAACTAAAATGTTTTCATTTTCAAACTCACCGAAACTATGCACTGAAATAAAATTTTGATCCTTGAAGCAGTGAGCAGTCCACCACCAAAAGAAAAAAACATTAACAAATTACAAGCTACATGATGCCTTCCAACTTGCCTTGATATAAAGAGATGAATATCTTTAAAATCCTTAGAAATTAAAACCCAAAAAGATGTCAAAAAGTAAATTTTGTCCCATAGACCTTCAAACTTATCACACTTGTTTTCAAAAATTCTTGCATTTCTTTCCTTCTAAATGACCCAAAGAGTAGCAAAAAAAGCATAATGTCAAATAGTCTTCCACGTACAATTATTGTCAAAACCCACATTATCCATGGAAAACATAGAAACCAAATTCCTTGGAGCAGCCCAAGAAAAGCCCACATAATCGAACAACTTGTTCCATAACCTTCGTGCGAAAGAGCAAAGCAATAAAAGATAATCAACACTCTCACTTTCACTTTTACACATAACACTCTATTGCGGTTGAAGGCAATGCTTAGGTCTCCTCTTCTATAACACCTTATCATTGAGATTTCTACAAAAACCAAAGCCCTAAGAAATCGGATTGGAAGATGACAAAGTCATGGATGCTATCAGTCGGTTTTCACAGCAAGAGAAGAGTAGAAAAAGAAGACTCCCTAAACCTAAATATCCTCCCAAAAACGTACTCTAGTTCCATCACCCACCATGAACTTGATTCTCAAGAAAAAACCAGGGACAACCAACGAAATGAACTTCCACGGACTCCGAAAAGTACACTTCCCATTAGTCTATAATCCATCCTTACTCCTAATAACCTTGGAGTTGGAACTAACCTAATTTTTGTATATAAGCTAAATTCACTAAAAATGAAGGAAAGGGACACAACCCAAATATGTGCAACATATACTCTGCATCTTATCCATCTATACCAAACTACATATCCAAAAAATCCATCCAAGAATCAAAAAAGGAAAATTAGAAGTCCAAAAATTCAAAAGACTCATAAGTTTTACAATGGAATACTATCACAACTAAGCTTCCTCAATATCTATCTTGATATAACTGAGCTTCCTTCCATACCCTCCCTAAGAGCACCCAACACCTAAAAGCCTCTAACCAAGCCAAAGCCAAGTATGCCCAGTCCCAGACAATACCAACTAATGAGTGTAGGAAAATTCGAGTGTTTTAGCCACCACATAATTCACTGGCACCTGGTCCACGATGTATCCAGCCTCCTTACAAAGACAGACCAATTCACGTAAACATTTTCCCTTCACTCTAAGATGTCCCCAGTCAAAATTCCTGCACATATTGTCATCTAAATAATAGCAAAAAAAATCTACTTCTTTCAAGCACAAGTGTGACAAATAACTTCAACAGAGAATTAAAGACTACCCACACTGCTCATCAAACCCACAACCTGAACAGAAATTTTCCCTTTTTAGTATCAAGCCACCTCACCCTTCCTCCATACCCCCTCAAAACCGCAACCATATAAATACTCAGAAAAGGGTCCCGCAGATTCATTGAACCTCCCAGTCCTGGAAAGCTCTTCACAATCAGGGGGATCAAATTGTCCATTTTGGGGAAGCTCGCCACTTCCAGTAGCTTAGTGTCTTTATCCCTGGATATCCTTATCACTTACAACAGCCTGCATATGGTGCTAAAGACAAATAAGATCAAGTACCCAAGAAGACATTTAAGGATCACAATCTTAAACAAACAAGATATCGTAATTTTACAACACATTTCGCGAAGGTAACCCATTTTCAGTCAACTCCACATGCATAGATGTGAATTTCTTGAAATATAGTCAATCTAATATTGAAATTATATTAATGACATTCATTTTCAACTAGTGGACATGCCTCATAAAAAGTCCAACATAAAGATGACCCCAAAAGTCCCAAAAAAGGCTAATAAAAGAAAAGAACATTTTTGCTCCTAAGACAAACATGACAAGAACACGGTCCTAGATATAGTTTTGGATGTCCTTGTTAGAACATCCCACTTAAAAGTTAGAACAAATTGACAATAAGTAGAGATATCTGTTAATTATAAAAACCAATCTAAGTGGGCACTAGTCAGTTGATGTGAGGTACGAGTTCACTTTACATCCTCTCTCGCATAAGATTGGGCTTGCGTGGGGCCAAAAAAAATTAGTAAAACAGTACACCAGGAAATTCAAAATGGTAAGATAATTAGCCCACTGACCACCAAAAGCCTCTAATACCATGGTAGCGCATCCAACTCAAAACCAATTCATAATGACCGGAGAGGCCCTTCACCCATACATATCAATCTTGGTGACCATAAAAATTTGCTATGGGACAAAATATCTCTGTACAAATGAAGCTAAGTGCGACCAATGACACAAAATAAGTGCTCCATTCAGTTGGCAAAATGAACTTGAAGCAAAGGCCATAATAACCACCTCCCAATCCAACAAAGTTTGGTTTGTTAAGGCAATAAGACAATAGGTTGGAATTGAATCCCAACTGAAGAGATCATGAAGAACCGGATGAATTCTTAACTACTAGAGAGAGTCAATCAAAGTAAACTCATGTTCAGAAGGATCCAGCTGAAACTCCAGACAATTCATTCCAGGGCTACCTTCTGCGACATGCTGATTATTCAAGAATTAGTAGTAAAACAAAGGATATTGGACAAACCACATAAAGCATTTTGGCCATCCGAACAACCGATGCAAAAATTATGATAAGAGAGCAAACTCCATGTACTCATGTAAGACAAAAATTAAGAAAATGTTCCATGGAGTAAAGTTAGATCTTACTCCAATCAGAGACACTTCCTTGATTAATTCCGACTCTACATGAAGGTGGCTTCCAGTGAGAGTCAACGCCATAAAAGTAAGAGTTGAAAATACTAAAGAGGAGCTTTTCAGCTTCTATTTTACCACAGTTGCATGTATATGCAGAAAGATCAAAAAGATTATTCCTGAGATACAGACATGGGCCTAGCCAGATGATTTACAGCATTTGATCCCATTCACGGGATCGAATCACTTCACCAGAGAAGAAAAAACAGATCATCTTTGACATAAATAGAGTTCTTTATTCAGCATACAAAGATACATGAATCTGTCAGTGTGCGTGCCCTTTGTATTTGCGGATTATCCAACTAAAAGATATACGCTGAAGTGATCAATTGACAGAAGTAACAACTAAAATAGCAAATTCAATACAGTTTTACTGCCCAATAATGGTCAAGCCAAGTACATTCAAAAACAAAAACAAAAAACGAAATGAATAGCCCAAATAAAATAACTGATAAGTGAAACAAACAAGGGCGAATAATGGGCAAACAGTTCACAAGACCAACCTGGCGAGAAAGGTCAAATTGGGTCAATATAACCTCTGCAGCCTTCAAAGTCTTATCTATGTTCTCATGAGCCGTGCGAATAGCATGTGTTCTAATCTACAAATTCCAAATTAAATAGTTTTACAATAACAGTAAGCAGAGGCAACTGAAATAATGATACTAATGCCCATATTGTCAGTCACGCAGTACCCAGATTGAAACAAACAGCATAAAGAAAACACACTAGATCTCTGTTTTGCAAATGTAGGAAAAGATAGTAAGGCCGAACCGAAAACCTGTGTTTTTCACCATTAAATCCTCAGGAAACAAATGAAGTCAAGTCAACAATTTAAAGAACATTTTATCCAAGTCGTATTATTTTATTTACCCAAAAAAAATAAAAAACAAATGAAAGAACAAAGGGGAAAAATAGGTATCAAAATCATGCTTTTTCTACTGGCTTCCAATTTTCCTTCTGGGTTTCAAAGCAGACCAAGTAAAAGGGAAGTTGACCCAATCAAACCCATAAATATAGAAGCAAAATTATATCCAAAATTCAAACTCGGGTTCTTTATTTAATTCAACATAAATAATATCTTGCTATGCTTTGAATTTTCCTTTGTTTTGTCAGGAGCCAAACAGAGGGTTGTGTAAGTTGAAGAGATCAAACCCAGAGAAATTCACCTGAGTAGGTCTCATGGCTGTCTCGAGAGCAGAGAGACGGTGGTCAAAGGAGCCAAGAATGGAGACCATGTTGTCTGTACTGGACTGACTCTTCTGCAGTGACTCTCTCATCATAGCTGCTCTTTCACTCAGCAAATCCACCCTCACTGGACCTGTCGTAGGAACCCCCATCTTCTTCTTCTTCTTCTTCTTCTTTCGTCCCTCTCTGTCTCTCTCTCCCCCCAGTTCTGTCTCTCTCTCTTTCTAGTTGGTGGTTCGAGGGACGGGAATAAGGAACTTGAGACGAGAGACAGCACAAATGAGAGCGGTTTTACAACATATAAATTAAATTACACTTACGTCCCTGCAATATTGAAACGCAATAGTTTTATCCCCTTACCTTTTCAACAGAACACTTAGATGCCTTATTTTTAGTAAGTTGCTACTAAAAGGCCCCTCTATCTAGTTGAAATTACTTGCAACAACAATTAATGATTACATTAGCNGCAATATTGAAACGCAATAGTTTTATCCCCTTACCTTTTCAACAGAACACTTAGATGCCTTATTTTTAGTAAGTTGCTACTAGAAGGCCCCTCTATCTAGTTGAAATTACTTGCAACAACAATTAATGATTACATTAGCTCAAATTAGCTTTAAAAGACCAACATTATCTCTCAGTAAACATTGGATCAAATTATGCCTAAACTTACTTTTTATTGGTTCCAAATTAATATTGTCTTCAAACACCTCTACCCCTTCCTCCACTTGTTTTCCCTCCCTCTCAAACATATCATTACAAATGAACAAATATCAAACACTCGTTTACTTATTAGGAAATAGAACAAAATTCAAAAAATTTATTTCAAATAAGTAATAGAAATTCTTTAGATCTTACCTAAAATCAATCAAAAAAAATGAAATGGATTGATTCATATAATTTTGGGCTGTAATTTTTCTAAAAGAACTTAGGTATTGTCAAGCGCATTTTAAGTACTTCTAGTTTCTTACTTTTTTTTACTATTTTTTAAGTAGAATTTTTTTTTGGAATATAGCTTTCTTGTTTTTGTATTGTCCTAGGTTTACTCTTTTCATTTGAGTTTAATCATAACGGGTAGTGGTATATACACATATTTGAGGTTTGTTTGACAATTAGTTTGAATCTATTTACCAAAAGAATTATTTATATTTGGCAAGGCCTAAATATAGCTAAAGCTATAAAAATAACCTATTTTTGTTGAGAATCTATAGCAATGAAAACATTGACAAAAGAAAATAGCATAAAAAGCCAGATGAAGCATGAAGCCAAATTTAGACAATGTAAGGGATATTCCTATATTTACTCTTAACTATAGTGGTGTAATTGCAATTTATAGAAAAGCAAACAGGAGGTGGTTAATAATAATGTCGCCAAAAAGTTGGTTGGCATTTCCATCATTGTATCACTATGGACAGACAGACAGACAGACAGAGATGCCTTGCCTTGTCTTGCCATTGCCGGGGTGTTTCTTAGTGGACCGTGGATTCTACACGTGCGGTTCCTCTATTCGTCCGGTTCTTTTGAAATTTTAAACGGGNAGATGCCTTGTCTTGCCATTGCCAGGGTGTTTCTTAGTGGACCGTGGATTCTACACGTGCGGTTCCTCTATTCGTCCGGTNACAGAGATGCCTTGCCTTGTCTTGCCATTGCCGGGGTGTTTCTTAGTGGACCGTGGATTCTACACGTGCGGTTCCTCTATTCGTCCGGTTCTTTTGAAATTTTAAACGGGTGAAGTTATTTGATTAAACATGATTTTTTTACGACACAGATCTTATAGATTATAAAATACTTTTGTTAGGCATTAGTTGAACAGATGTTAATATAATACAAATTGCACGATTTAAAATACAATATGACACTAATCATCGACAATTCTAACTCTATTACATATGCAAATAACCAAGGCCAAGGTGTCAAATTTCTAACTAAACTACTATACTTTTTGACACGGATTTGTAAGACAACATGCATCAAATATGATAGATATTTGATTATTTATCGAGGACGGTAATTGTCATCTCATTGTCTAAGATTATTTTTTCAATTATTTTTTGCAATATATTAATTAAATATGTTCTTCTTGTTGTTGACAAAGTTATNTGATCCACAATTCTAACTCTATTACATATGCAAATAACCAAGGCCAAGGTGTCAAATTTCTAACTAAACTATACTATACTTTTTGACACGGATTTGTAAGACAACATGCATCAAATATGATAGATATTTGATTATTTATCGAACATTGACGGTAATTGTCATCTCATTGTCTAAGATTATTTTTTGCAATATATTAATTAAATATGTTCTTCTTGTTGTTGACAAAGTTATTTGTAGTTAGTAAAATACTTCGATAAAAACATAACCAAATGATAGTTTATTTTAGAACTGACTTACTAATAGTAATAACATGTTAATTTCATTATGTAGGACATGTGAGAAAACTCCAATAAAGTTTCATTTTCAAGAAGGTCAATGGAAGAAATAGTCCCTCTTGAGCCTCGTACTAACCTCAACCTCGGTTCCTTGCATCTCTAGTACATGATGTGACACAAAATTAAGAGGGAAGGTTTTTTTTTTTGGCCCCCGGGGGGGAGCTCATTGAGATGATATCAAGTGACATATCAAANCAGTTCCTTGCATCTCTAGTACATGTTGTGACAAAAATTAAGAGGGAAGGTTTTTTTTTTTGGCCCCCGGGGGGGAGCTCATTGAGATGNCGGTTCCTTGCATCTCTAGTACATGATGTGACACAAAATTAAGAGGGAAGGTTTTTTTTTTTGGCCCCCGGGGGGGAGCTCATTGAGATGATATCAAGTGACATATCAAATAGTTATGCCTAAACCAACAACAAACAAAAACTAGAGGTTTATATCATTTGCACACAAGAAACGATCCATTTACAAGCAATTAGAAGTTCAGCATAGTATGCAATTAATAAACTATATCTTCAAGGTATGAGAGAAAATAGCATCCCATTGTACTGTTTGCAACAACTAGTTGAAAATGAATAAGACCAACATTAGGAAACAAAAATGCCCTTGGGAAATCATGTCGATGAACATCTTGAAAGTATGCGTGTTTCAGTACATCATAGGCCGTAATTCTTCCCTTTGTATAGCACATCATTTTCTACAAATTCATAATCATGGGTATGAATATATTAAGAAGTAAGAACTACAAATTCGTACGAGAATCTAATAAAGTTGGTGTTCTTATGGTTTTTTATGTATTTAAAACCTACAACTTTGCGGCCATTAAATTTTGTTCTGTAAGGGTAGTTTCTCCAATTATGGTGACAAGAAAGTGAAAATGGAATGGACATACAGATAAAAGATCAACTCCTGCTGGTTCGAGACCAGGAACCACCTATGCTAGGTCCTGCATAGAAGGGAAGGAAACAACGTAAAATATACATCGTTCTCAAATTTTTCGAAAAATAAATATCTAGTGCAGAACCCAGATTACCTGAGGATCTAATTTTTTGGCCAGAGATATTGATTAGCGAAGTCATTCCGGACCATGTGTTGAAGTTTGACCCAAAATTTTCAAGTATTTTATTCCTTATTTATTTGGTATTAATTTACAATTAGAGTTTTAATGAATTTAACAGTTTTGACCCATAAAATATTTTAGTTAGTTTGGTGTAGTTTAATTAAAAGTTATCACAAGATTGGTGTTATTAGTTTTTAATAGGTTTAGATTTCTTTAATATTTAAAATCTTTTACATATAATTGCATCAGGCAATGGCAGAACCTTTGCTAATAGGAAGATTGGTTTTGATTTTTTTTTTTTTTACGTGAAGCTTTTTTCTTTGATTAAATAATTGTGTCTGTGTGAGAGATTATTTTGAGTGCTACATATTATTTTGAGATCCTCAATCTGGTATCAGAGTCAATTTCAGAGATGCCAAACAGGAACTAGTTCATTCAATGCCCGATTGAAAATTTTGACGGGAAGTCAAATTTTCAACATTGGAAAATATAGATAAAGTTGTTTTTCATGGTCATGAATTTTTCAAATATTGTAACAAACGAGTTCACAGATCTTGGATATCTGTCAACTCACACAAAAGCCCAAAAGGATGAATTGGTAATTAATCAAACGAAAGACAGTAAAGCGTTAATTCCCCACTCTCCACCATAACAAAATGTTTCCACTATATCTCAGGAGTAGTCAAAGGGCGTGTCCAAGTAGGAAAAAATGAACTAAAAAGTAGGGCATGTATATCTATGGAGTAATTAATTCGTCAATTTATGACAAGATTGCTCATGTTTCGATGGCAAAGGCAGCATAAGATGTCTTAATCAATTGTTATGTTGGACAAGACAAAGTGAAAAAAGGTTCGGTTGCAGACTCTACGCAGACAATTTGAGCTTCTTCAGATGAAAAAATCAGAAAGTATATTTGATTTTTTTCGTGGACATTAGTTATTGTTAGTCAGATGAGAGCTAACGGCGAAAATGTGAAGGACCTCCAAGTTATGAAGAAAATTCTTTGAATCTTATCAATGAGGTTCAAATATATTGTCAAAGCTATCATGTAGTCAAATGACCTTGATTATGTGGTAGTTGATGAGTTGATGGGTTCCCTGCAAGCCCATGCACAAAGATTGAATAAAAAGACTAAGATTTTAAGAGAAGAAGCCTTGCAGACTCAAACGAGTTTCAAGAAGGAGAAGGATGAGTCTCATAACAAATCTCAATCAAATCAAAAGTATTCGCATTCAAATAACCAACATACGTGGCAAAATAGATCTGGTGGAGAAAGATACAAAGATAATAATTGTGGTGAATAACGTGATAAGTCCAAAATGAAGTGCCACAATTATAAAAAATTAGGACACTATAAAAGGGACTGCTTCAGATTAAAAAGACCCAATAATAAGAATTATCATGCTAAAATTACAAAGGACAATGATGATAATTCAGAGGCTTTATTTTTAGCTGATAGTGCAGTGAATGATGTTCAAAAGAATAAGTGATATTTGGATTCAGATTGTAGTAATCACATGTGTAATTACAGGGAGATGTTCACCTTATTGAATAAGTCTGTTCAGTCAGACATTAAATTTAAGACTGCTTCAACCATCCCCATAAAGGGAAAAGGTAAAATTTATATTAAGTTAAAAGATGGATCTTTGAATGTTAT